ATTGATAAAGTGATCCGTGTGTGCTTTTTAAATATAAATCAATGAAAAATACAGTCAGCTGAATATGTATTGCTTCAGGATTGAAAGTGTCAATTCAACTTCGAATATTACCCTAATATCAATTTTATACATCAATTGTTTACATTTTATAAATGATGCACGATCATAACTTACCTTGAATTAAAATTAATGATTTAAGAACTCATGCACTATGCGTCAACTTGAGCTGTTACTTTACTCTTCTGTGAAAAGATCGCACAACTTTGTCCAGCAAAGAATCTAATAGGACTCAAAGAGTTTATTTAGAAATTATTACGTTTTTAATTCGTAACTGGGTGGCAAATGTTTAAGTAGGTTATAGCGGGCCGCCTTGTCGATTATTAGCAATAATAGCCAATAATAAAAATGATAAGGCTAACGTGCCCAGAAAATTTCGCTCAGTTTGCATTCGCTTTTCATAAGTTTGATTAGAAGATTAGCGTTTCGTGGAAAGCAAAATTCATTTTTCACTGTAGTAAAAAAGACACCTTATTGAATGTGATATAAGTTAGCAATAAAACGAATATATAAATATCAGTGTTTACAAAATTTCAGCTGAAAATTCCTTTATATCAAGTTAACTTTGATTCCTTGTGAAATAAAGTTTAATTTTAACCCTTTATGTATTCACAATAGTAAAGACAGATTTTAAAATAATATATCAATTAATTATGGCAATAGTTGAAAAGAGTGTAATAAAGTTAAAAGCTTTAACATGTTTTGCCCTTACGACATATAATCTATCTAAATATACACAATTTATAATGGTTCTATTTGGTTTTATCACTTTATCTTATCTAATAACACTAATCACTATTTTTTCTTTATTATTTAACTAAGGATTGGGAGCTTTTTCTAAAATTAGAATTTTTCGCATTGATTTAAGCTGTTGCAGAAATTGAGTTAAAAAAAATCTGCTCTGATATTTTACAATAAAATTTCGGTTTAAATTCTTCTTGTTCCATTTGGAAAATTTTGGGAGTTTAAGCGTATTTTTACCATACCAATGAGGAAGACACAAGGTCATTCATATTAGTTGCTTATTGAAGCGCAGTTAGAAGGTTGGGTGTTAACGTGCATAAGGGCAGAAAATATATTTTAATAAAATTAGCGCATCAAAGCCCATTTGACTGAGTGAGTCACGTTTGATAAATAGATTTAATTAATTATTTCTTAGGTCTCACTAATAATAAATAAAGCCAGGTAATATAAACGGCATTGAATTATATAATCAAATTTAAATAGATCACAGATATTGACTCAAAATAATTTAGCATCCTCAATCACTGACGCTTGCAAATTTTAATAAAGTTTTATATTCCCATTTACATGAAAACTAAACCATCAATTCCTAAACATCAGCGGACTCGTCGCCAAATGCCAGCACATTCGAGAAATCTTACTCCTTCTGGGTATTCTGATAGTTCATATGCGTCAAGTGATGATGAGTTATCACACTATGATTACGGAACCTGTCATCCGTTGCAAGAACCAGTATTATTCTTCCTGAAAAAGCTTCATCTGCACGATGTAGGAAGTGTTCATCCAAAACGAAATCAGAAAGATGAAATAGAAATACCGTAAAACTAACTATTTTATTTATTCTCAAATTCAATTTTACTTTTCAGCAATGTGCCCTTATTTTATTTCAGCTTTTATGAAGATGATACGCAGCTTTATTTTAGTGATGCCCAACCGGATGATGTAAGTGAATTAGAGTCTGATTTTGGTTGGCTTTCTCATTGTATTTTCACGGATGTTTCCGCATTGGTTGATAATATAAATTAGATTGTTGCTAAGGCAAATAGATAATTATCATATTCAAAATGTGTTTTGATTTTAAGACCCCGGTTTATTGTCCATATGGAGGAAACATATCTGGTTACAAAACTGGTAAGTATTATGATCGCCGTAAGTTGAACTCATCATATGGTCTTCAGTAACTGTGTT